AATTTTATATATAAATATATATAATTTTATTTAATTATAAATAAATATATATAATTATCAATGAAACATTTCTTCCCGAGCACATTTTCTAAAAGATTTCTTAAAAATAAGTATTTATAAAATTTCAAAATAATTTTAAAATAATTATTTCTTTTTAATTATCATTTTTAAGTCATTGTAAAATAAAGTGACTCAAGAATAAACAAAAAAGAAAGATATTGATTTTACATAAGCTAAGAATTGATATTTACCGCAAGGTTGCTCCGCCGGTGCCCGATGCCTCTCCCAGACCTCCTCCTCCTCTCAGAATTGGGTTGACATTCTCTCGCACGGGACACTCGCGTAAAACACTCGCGAATAATACATTATAATCGCGCGCGGACTAATTATTTAGAAAAGTTTTTCGCGTCGAACTAGAATTCCATCGAATAGATTTTGTAAAAAGTCCATTAGTCCGATAACTTCAACGGCACTCCGAAAGCAAAGCGCGACGCGACGAACCGGCTGCGGTTCGATCACTTTCAATTAAATCGGCGACGAAGGTACGTTAGCTTTTTTTTCCCCCGTCGTTGGATTTTTACACCAAGAGAACGATTTTATTCAATATCTAAAAATTTTATTCAGATCCGAAAATTTTTAAATTAAGAATTAAAAACCGTTCTTTTTGTGTATATCCTCTGGGTACTGAGCCCTCCTACTACGTCAAGGTCGTACCCGTGAGAGAGAAAATATCATCTGAAAAATGTAATATACAGCTATTATATATATCTATACTATTATGCAATTATCGGTTAACTTTTAGAAATGAATATCAAAAACATGTCAATTCGCCACTATTGCGAAATAAATTCACAGAGCAGATAAAAGGACTGAATCTTTTATTACGATATCTGTAAGATATGATTAGAGTCAATGGAATGAGCTAGAGATTAATAAAAAAGAGAAATATTTCTTTTATTACTGATAAATAGTTTCAAAGTTCAATTTTTTATCATATTACGAAAGATGTACGAAAAATTAATTAAATTATTAATTATACAAACTATATTAATTGTGAAAGTAGAAATCGCGCGCATAAATTGCGTTATTTGCGTGAGAGTATTAACGTTGCTTTTTATGACTCGTGTGATATCGTTCGAAGTATAATCGAGAGTTAATATTCAAGCGAGAGAAAAATTTTGCGTTAAACAAAAATAATTGTCATCCGTAATTATCGCGAAATAATAATAAATTCTGTTTTCAATTGTGTTTTGATTCCAAATGAATGAACCGTATACGAAATATTTGTTCCGTGATACATGGATTGTCATCTCGATCCTTTTATGAATTATGCTTGGTTTATACTTCGGTCTTAATCCTAAAATTCTAAAATTCAGCCAATAGGGCTGCCAGTCTTAATTGGTCCTAACTGAAATCTGTATTCAGCGCGGCACGCGGCAGTGATTGCGCAGTGCCGGTAACTATACGCGTAAACTTGCGTTCAGCAGAAAAAGCAGCTTTGCAACTGTTGTAAAATTCTTGAATATGATTGGTATATATTGTACATTTAGATTCAGTAAGAAATTAAGGGCAAGGCCAATCCATATTAAAGAATTTTACAACAGTTGCAAAGCTGCTTTTTCTGCTGAACGCAGCCATGGCGTCTTCCGCTCGTCCTTCCACGCCAAAACAATCTCTAAGGCCGCGCGCCGATCATCTTATTGTCGAAATATTAACGCGTACTACAAAATAAGTAAAATAATTTATTCGTTATATTTTTAATATTCTCCGATGAATAGGTTTTACTGCACGATTTTTACCTTACTTCTTACATTCGTTCTTACATATATTACGCACATATAATTTATCTATATATTAAATATTTCAAATTGTATTACAATAAGTTTTTGGAATCTAATAAAGTGCGATGTTCTGTATTATCTAATATTTGTCGCACAAGTAAGATTCAAAGAAATATAAAAAAGAGCGG